CCATTGGGTCAAAAGCCGTGCCAACTCTCTGGCAGCAGTGAATACTTTTGCCAAGAAAGCTTACCCTTTTAGCTCGGCTCACCAGAGGGCACAGGAGTTGGTCGGGAATGCTGGATCACCCACCTCCGAAAAGACACGCTGTTGCCTCTTTTTGGGCAAACGAAAAATCATGAGGAGCGTCCAATGCCTCTGCTTGCAGGGCGCCAATTTGCTAACTGTCAGAGCCTGAGTGGAGAAAACAATGAAAATAAACGAAAAATTACGGAGTATGCAAGCCTTTGCTTTATTAGGACGTTCCACCGGCCGGCTGCTATGACGACATTTTCATTCATTTCCTAAGCCCTGTGACGAGATTTGAACAGAAAGCCCAACACCCAAGCTTCTTTACTTTTTTATTTTAAAAATAAAAAAAGTTAGAGTTCAAACATCAAAAAACTTGATTGCCCAAGGAAAAACTCGGCAGGGCAAATTCTTCGTTGTGGCACGTGCTGGTCCAAATTCATTGGTCACACAATCGATTATTTGGGTTGAACGCTTTTTTTTTATTTTTGGAGCGCCAAAAAAGAGTTGGCCCTCCTTTTCTTTCCCTTCTTTTTCTTTGTCTCTCCCCCCTTTTTTTTTCCCTCTCTCTCCATTCTTCTTTGCCCATCTTTGTTGTCTTTTTTAAAGCAAAGATGGAAGTCAGTGTCGAAAGGACTCATCAGGGCTACGACAATATCAAGCAACCTGAATTCTTCAACAGCCATGAGCAGCACTTTCCTGTTGCTCCCACTGCCGTTACCAATCATCGAACTGCTCCTGAAACAGCCTACCTTGCAGATGATGACTTTGTCACAAAGTCGCCAGTTGAACTAACGGACGATTCCCTAGAACTGTCACCTCCAACCACACCCTTGCCCTCCAAGGAGCAACTGCAGCGACCTGGTTCCCGCCCAAACCTTGACCATATCGAAAAGCACCATGAACGCACCCTGCAGCAGCTCAACGATGCCATGTTCTACAAGCGACACTCCACCCACGATGCTCTGTTGCAATCCAAACGACGAGACACCTCCATCGGGATCCCTGCCATCGAGCACCGCCTTCCCTTGGAAGAAACGTCCCTTACCCGCACCGAATCCACCTCCACTCTCACTCGACACAACACCACCGGCCACACCTTACTCGGCAAGCCCAAGAAAAAACCTGTCCTTGAAGTCTCCGAGGAATTCCAAAAGGAATTGTCTGCTCGTCAAAAGGCATTCAAACGACTCTCCCGACGCCGTCGTGATGATGAAGAGGACGATCGAGTGATGATCGGCACCCGCATTGCTGAAGGCCACCAAAATTATGTCATGATGTACAACATGCTTACCGGCATCCGCATTGCGGTTGGCCGTGTCTCTGCGAAGATGGACCGCCCTCTTCTACCCGAAGATTTCACTGCTGCCCACAAACTGTCCTTTGATGTGTAAGTCTCCAACAATCAAAACACACTCCATGCTGAACCATTGATTTCCCTTTCATAGGACGGGTGATGAGTTGACGCCTGGTGCAAAATACGATTTCAAATTCAAAGATTATGCCCCTTGGGTATTCCGTCATCTACGTCAACAATTTGGCATTGATCCAGCTGATTACTTGGTACACCACCATCTCCTCATTTCTCTGCATGAAATCAAACCTCTCATCTTTTTTTTACTTTGCAGATCTCCTTGACCAACAAGTATATCTTGTCAGAACTAGGCTCGCCTGGGAAGAGCGGCAGCTTCTTTTACTATTCAAAGGACTATCGTTTCATTATCAAGACTATCCATCATACCGAGCACAAGTTTATGCGCAAAATCCTGAAGGAATACCACGATGTAAGTTGTAAACCCAACCAGCGTTTTTTTTTTTTTTTTTTTTCCTGACCATTTTTTCTTGTAGCATGTGATGAACAACCCCAATACTCTGTTGTGTCGTTATTATGGCTTACATCGTGTCAAGTTACCTCGCAGTCGAAAAATCCATTTCGTCGTCATGGGCAACGTCTTCCCTCCTAACAAAGATGTGCATGAAACCTATGATCTCAAGGTAAATAGCATTCCTCTTCCATTCATTCAGACCCTAACTCTGTCCATTTTTTAGGGCTCGACCATCGGCCGCTTGTTGCCTGAAGAAGAACTGAAAAAGAACCCAATGGCCGTGATGAAGGACTTGAATTGGGAAGCTCGTAAACGCAAATTGAAGCTGGGTCCTCGCAAGCGTGAACTGTTCATCAAGCAGCTTGTCCGTGACGTCAGGGTATGCTTTTTTTTTCCTCTCGCCAGCAACGTCACTCACTTCTCTTTTTCTTAAAAAAAAAAAAAGTTGCTGGTTCACTTGAACATCATGGATTATAGTTTATTGATCGGCATTCACGATATGCTTCGTGGCAACAAGGACAACGTCCGTGATTCAACCCTGCATGCTTTCCAGGTAAGAAACCACTCCTGTTTTTATTCATGTGACCTCACCCTTTTTTTTTTCCCTAGCCTGACACCAGAACTGTGGAACGACATGACACACTGATGAAACGTCGCCAAAGCAAAGCCCAAGTGGTGCGCAAAGCCATTGCCATTACCAACCCTGACAAGGTCGACGTATCGCAATTGCCCGAAGACCCTGAAGAGTAAGTGTCACTCAAGCCACTAAAACAACCTGCTCAACCAATTTTTTTTTCTGTGTTTAGACGACGCAACTGCGTATTTTATGCTGACGAAGGTGGTTTCCAAGCTACAGACGAAAGCAACCGTCCTGCCGGCATTCTCTACTTTATGGGCATCATCGACATCCTGACACCCTACGATACCAAGAAGAAGACCGAACACTTGTTCAAATCCTTGACCCAAGACAAGAACGCCATCTCTGCTGTCAAACCCTCAATCTACGGCGACCGCTTCATGGGATACATGGCCAAAACCTTGGAACACAATCAGGACATACCCCATGAATACCATATGAGCTAATGACCACGTTTTTTTTTGTACGAGTACCCTCCTCCCTTTGCCTCGCATCTATTTATATCTTTTGTTTTTCCCTACTGCGTTCATATTAAAAAAAAAATGTTCCCTGATGTGCAGCCACTGTGAAGAGAGACAATCGAAATACCTGTGCAAGAATGGCCTTTATTTCTGTACATTCTCCTACAGCCCGTAGAAGTGTGCGATATATCTTAAGGCTGAAAGTGAAAACGGCCGAGGAGCGACCAAATGAAAATTCCAAAAGCTGGCCAACATGCAGTTTCCTTTTATAGTAACTCAGCCTGGCGGCTGCTCTGCAAGTTGTCTACCCTTTTGGTCTATGCATCTTTCAACAGCGAGGCCCAACATTGGCCACCCATTATCGTTTAAACGCCATAGTTTCTATGTGAACCTAGTGCTGCTCATTGGATTCCCATGCACATAAAACAACGGTGCGCTTGACTCGTAAACGAACAGATTTGCGCGAGTTCAAAACCTGCAGCCGTGGATATTGCCTTCTTAACACCCAGTACGTATTTAGGAAATGTCAATGTGTAAAGACCTGAAAAGCGAAAACAAGGAAGAAAAAGAACCGAAGGAGCGCCTGAAGTAGCAGGAAAGCACGCTGTTCATTAACGGCGCCTTTTTTTTTCCTTCCTTCCTTTTTTGTACCCAGCGGCGCTTCCAAACTCCAGTTGAAAACGAATAAAAAAAAAACCAGTGAATGCCAACCATGGATGAAATATCTCAAACAGCGTTTTTAACCTACCAACTTGAAGGCAATCCATGTATATCAGGGTTTAGGTTTTCTCAAATGGGCTTTTTTTTTAGAGTATGCGCAGGAGGAGGGCGGAGAAAACAGAAAAACATAGGCTTTTGCTTGCCCCGCCTGCACTTGGGTTTCTTACATTACTACCAACACTCACTAAAAACCGGCCTCACCATCAGTTGGTGACTACCACATTTACCTTTGAGCCTAGAATAAAAATCCTTGGAGGGTGAACCAATGGATGAACAGCTAAACCACTTTTCAGGACGCGAGAAAGTGGAATCAGGTGCGCACATTTAATTTTTTCAGTGCATGCTTACCAACATCTAGCTCCTCCATCCGCTGCCTGTGATTCTTGCAATTTTAATCAAGGTCGTTTCTTATCATTTTGTACTCGTATGCAAGATATGGGGTGAATTGACTTGGAAAATTTTTGCACTGTGATTTTTGGTCAGACGGCCTGGGGATCCACTGAGGAAAATGGCCGCTTTTTTATATTTCTAAGCTGGCGAATCGGAAGTGCCAGAACGAACCTGATCAAAGATTGGCCGGGCAACATTGACCAATCGAACTAGTTTTTTCACTACTATCATTATTCATGCATTTACACACCTGCATAAAATATCACATTGATATGACCACTCAGATATGCTGTGCAGCGTTTACTTTTTCAAAGCAAAAAAAAAAAAAGGACGGTCCTATTCAACTTCCGCTTAGGGCTTTCGATCCCCTCTTGGCCAGTGCATGCAAAGCAGTTGGTTATCAACCTTGGCCAATCGACCTGATATTTTTAGTACCATCTTCATTCATTCATTTGCGCACCTGTGCAAAAATTTACATTGATCCGATCATTCAGATATGCTGCACAGCGTTGGCAAAAAAAAGAAACTGGATTGCCAAATCTAGTAAAAACTGGTCCAGTGTCGCCCATTTCTTCTTTCAAATGTCGTGCCTGTTTCAATGTTGCTTGACAAACGTCGCCTTCCTTTTTTTTTTTTTTCGGGGCGTTGAAAGCGCTGCTTGACTTGAATGCACAAGAAAGTGTTTCGTGTGCATTAGAAATAATTAGGTGGTTCTGCCGACCGTTTTGCCTGCTCAAGTAAAGTATTCACGGCTTGAAAATAAGCAGCAAAATAACCAAGAAAAATACGTCCATATTTTTTCACCCAATAGAAATGCATATAACCAACGGCCCGAATATTTATCCCTCGGCGGCCGTTTATCCGTGAATATCAACGAGATTTTTAAAAATAAGTCCCGATCATATTGCCCTTGTAGCTTAGGGGTAGAGCGTTCGCCTTGTAAGCGAAAGGTCAAGGGTTCAATTCCCTTCGGGGGCAGTCTTTATTTTTACTTTTTGTTTGCCTCGAAAAATCATTTGGATTTGCAAGAAGGAATCTAAGAGCTCGAATACTCTGTTTGTGCTTTCCTTGTTTCATTTTTTTTTTTGCAGCCTCTGTCATCATTGCCCGTTTGCACGGGCTGGCAACGAGCAACGACTTTTCAGTTGCAGCTGGAAGTTTCATCTGGCTCGCATACGATAATACCATTGACGTAGTAGGTCACGTTGAATGTGCCCCAACGGCCATATCAACTCGTTCTCTGGCTGATTGGCACCATGGATGTTCTCTTCACATGCTCTTATTTTACATTATTGCTTAGAAAAGTCACGATTCCACTTTTTTTTGTCACGGAAAAAACAATCGGAGAACCTTGTTTTTGACACCGGAAACGGTGCGTGGTATTCCGAGCCAGTAGTTCGATGTAGTCAAAAAAAAAAAAAAAGAGCTGGTCGATTGTTTGCGCCCACGACTGCGGCATTGGCATACAATAACATACGTCATCTGGTGGACAAAGTGCTGTAAAATAAGCGCGGCTTGTCACACAAGCGTGGTGTGCTGCATTAAACAGAAAGCAGAAAAAAAGTGCCTGCTGAAAGGTAAAAACTGGGTGTCTTTTTAGTACTGGCCTCGGTAACGAGTTATCGCTCAGTGAAGCAAGCTCCTTCTTCGTCCTATTACGACGTGGTGATCAATAGAGAAGGAGAATGAAGACAGGCTCTTGAAACGAAATGAAAAATGAGTATACACTACATGACAGGAGCAAAGACTCATCATGACGAAAAAAACAAGTACCGCCTCAATTGCCATTTTGGATGGCAACCGGTGGCTTCAAAAAAGTCAGGCTAGTTTTTTTATTTTTTCCCCTCTTTTTTTTTTTTCTCTCTTTTTCGTAACTTTGTAACTTGTTTAATCGCGATGGCTAGTGAACAACCTACGAATCAATTAACTGAAGCTGAATTGGCTGCCGCTGCTGCCAAAAAGGCCAAGAACGAAGCCAAGAACGAAGAAAAGCGTCGTGCCAAATTGGCTAAGCTTGCTGCCAAACAGGCCAAGGTAAAAAAGTTGTCCATTGAAACACTTTGCGATGCTAACGTCAGCTTTCCACGAAGCTGGAAGAGCAAAACAAAGCCCAAGGTGAAAATGGCAAGGAAAAGAAGAAGAAGGCGCCCAAGGCTGCTGCTCCTGTCTTTGTCAACAAGACACCCAAGGGTGAAAAGAAAGGTACGTAAAGGACATCAAGAGCATCAGGGCGCTGACGCTTTTAATTATTTTAAAACACGTCTAGACATGAGCGAACCCATGGCAAATGCCTATAACCCTCAAGCTGTCGAAGCTGCTTGGTATGATTGGTGGGTCAAGGAAGGATTGTTCAAGCCTGATTTGACTGCCGATGGCAAGGTCAAGTCGGAAGGCGTGTTTGTCATGGCCGCTCCTCCTCCCAACATCACGGGCTCGCTCCATGTCGGCCATGCCTTGACTGTTGCTATCGAAGACACCATGTGCCGTTGGAACCGCATGTTGGGAAAGACTGTGCTGTTCAACCCTGGTACAGATCACGCTGGTATCTCTTGTCAATCTGTGGTGGAAAACAAGCTGTGGAAGGAAACCCGACAAACCCGCCATGATCTCGGCCGCGAAGCCTTCATTGCCAAGGTGTGGGAATGGAAGGAAAAGTTCGGGAGCCGTATCCATGAACAATTCCATCGTTTGGGTGCCTCCTTTGACTGGGATCGTGCTGCTTTCACCATGGATCCCGTGAGTCATTGACGTTCTTGATAAGCATAGGAGCTCACTAATTTTTTTTTTTTGTTTTGCGCTGCTAGAAACTATCCAAGGCCGTGGTGGAAACATTTGTCCGTCTCCACCGTGAAGGGACAATTTACCGTGCTAACCGTCTTGTCAACTGGTGTGTCCGTCTGAACACTGCTATTTCCAACTTGGAAGTTGAAAACAAGGAATTGCCTGGCCGTACCCTGTTGTCCGTGCCTGGTTACGACGATAAGGAAAAATTCGAATTCGGTGTGTTGAACGAGTTTGCTTATGAAATCGAAGGTACCGGTGAACGGATCGTTGTTGCAACCACTCGTATCGAAACCATGTTGGGTGATTCCGCCATTGCTGTCCACCCTGACGACGAACGTTACAAGCACCTCCATGGCAAGTTTGCTGTTCATCCATTCGTCGACCGCCGCATCCCCATTGTCACCGACGACATTGCTGTCGACATGGCTTTTGGTACCGGTGCTGTCAAGATCACTCCTGCTCACGATCCCAACGATTACGAAGTTGGCAAGCGCTGCAACCTCGAATACATCAACATCTTGAATGACGACGGTACCTTTAACCAAAACGGTGGCCCCTACCAAGGCATGAAGCGCTTCCATGTCCGCACCAAGATCATTGAAGACCTCAAGGCCAAGGGACTGTTTGTCGGTGTCAAGGAAAACCCCATGACCGTGCCCACCTGTGCCAAGTCGGGCGATATCATTGAACCTCTGATGAAGCCTCAATGGTGGGTCAACTGTACCGACATGGCCAAGGATGCTTATGATGCCGTTGCTGATGGCAAGCTGAAGATCTCGCCCAAGGTGTCCGAAGGCGACTGGTTCCGTTGGTTGGGCAACATCCAAGACTGGTGCGTTTCGCGTCAATTGTGGTGGGGTCACCGTATCCCTGCCTACTTTGTGAACATCCAAGGCGAAGAGCGTGATTATAACAATGGCGACTACTGGGTTTCTGGCTCCTCCGAGGAAGACGCTCGCGCCCAAGCCGAGCAAAAGTTCCCTGGCAAGACCTTTACCTTGGAACAAGATCCTGATGTCTTGGACACCTGGTTCTCCTCTGGCCTGTGGCCCTTCTCCTTGATGGGCTGGCCCGATAACGTAAATCTCAAAAAAAAAAAAAAAAAAAAAAAAAAAAACTTATCCAATAGAAATTAATCTGCTTTTTTTTTCTTTCTTCCTTTCTCTAGACTGATGATATGAAGCGTTTCTACCCTACGTCTATGATGGAAACTGGTTGGGATATCCTGTTCTTCTGGGTTGCTCGTATGGTCATGCTTGGTATCAAGTTGACTGGCCAAGTTCCTTTCTCCGAAGTCTTCTGTCACGCCATGATTCGTGATGCCCACGGCCGCAAGATGTCCAAGAGTTTGGGTAACGTCATTGATCCCGTTGATGTCATTGAAGGTATCACTTTGGATGGCCTGCATGAACGTTTGTATCAAGGCAATCTGGACGAAAGAGAAGTCAAGAAGGCCATTGCTGGACAGGTAAAAAAAAATCTCATGACATATCAAGCACTGCCTTGCTCATTGTTCCTCCATTTATCGTTCAATGTCATTAGAAAACCGATTTCCCCAAGGGCATCCCCGAATGTGGTACCGACGCTCTTCGCTTTGCCCTGTGCTCTTACACCACTGGTGGTCGTGACATCAACTTGGATATCCTGCGTGTTGAAGGCTATCGCAAATTCTGTAACAAGATTTGGAACGCCTCACGTTTTGCTCTGATGAAGTTGGGCGACGACTTCAAGCCTTCTGCTGACGCCAAGGTAAAAAAACAGCATGAGCATTGAATGGGAGCGGGAAACTCACGCTTTTTATTTTTTTTTTCTGCCTCTCTTTTCTTCCTAAAAGGCCTCTGGCAATGAATCTCTGGCTGACAAGTGGGTGTTGCACAAGCTCAACAATGCTGCTGTTGAAGTCAACAAGTGCTTGACTGAGCGTAACTTCTTTGGCGCCACCAATGCCGTCTACCAATTCTGGTTGTACGAGCTGTGCGATGTTTATATTGAAGTCATCAAGCCTGTGTGCGATGCGGATACCACCCACGACGAAGCCGCTGCTCTGCGCAAGATCACTGCCCAAAACACCCTGTACACCTGTCTTGAAGGCGGTCTTAAACTGTTGCACCCCTTCTCTCCTTTTGTTACGGAAGAATTATATCAACGCCTGGGCCGTCGCCCTGGTGATGCCACTCGCTCAATTGTGATTGCCAAGTTCCCTCTGTATGAAGCTTCTTACGACAACGCCGATGCTGCCAAGCAATTCGACCTCGTCTTCGAAGCCGCCAAGACCGTCCGTAGTTTGGCTGTGCAATTGGACAAGAAGAAGGACGCTACTGCTGTCATCCAAGCTGCCAATCCCGACGACGAAGCCCTTTTGGCCGGTGAGAAGGCTTCTATTCTGTCTTTGGCTCGTGCTGTCAAGGAAATGTCCATCTCTGGCAAGGCCGAAGCCCCTGAAGGCTACGAATCTTCTGCCGTCAACTCTGATATCACCGTGTTCTTGCAAAAATAGATTACGATTTGTTGTACAGGACCTCTTTTTTTTTTTTTTTAACAACTCAGTAAAGAATTCAAACCCTCATGTCATCACCTTGGTTACGAAGCAGATCTCTTACTTCACTAGCTAGGAAGAACAATCAATGTGGAGCATCAGACAGGCTCCCCGCTTGGGTGGATGCCTACTCGTTATGGTTTAGCCGGGAACAAAGTCATCAGCGTGAGGTGACCAAGACGGTTTATTTATTGATGAAGCGCATGAGGATCAAGGTTGGTGGAAGAGCCAGTCGCCAACGCCACCAACGATTTGCCGCAATTGATCGCGTTTCCGCGTGCCAGGCGCGGCCGGGTGGTCAAGGAAGGCATGGGAGCTTTCAGGAGAGGTCGGAGCATGGGGGTCAGCCGCACCCTTGATGAACCCGCCAAGCATGGACTGGCCCATTTTGGTGCTTTGCAAAAGGCCATGCCAGCTAGCGTGTGTTTTTGGCTGGGTGACGTCAGCCAGGGGGTCTCCAGATCGGCCAGATTCGAGTTGAAGTATCAAGGCTGGGTCACATTGATCGATTGGATGAGCAGCAGACAGGGATTGATACACATCTAGGATATCGTGGGTATACTCGACAGGACACACCGTCAATGCCATGGCCAGAGCATCCAGTCGCCGCCAAGGGTCGTCATAGGCTTGCAGCTTGCCCAGGTTAAAGCAGATTTGC